GTCAAAGCTATTCAATGTTTTAATTATGTACAGTTTAGCATAGGATATAATTTTGATTGTGTTTATGTCCTAGTACCCTGTAGTTTGAGATGCAATGCACAATTTCATTTACAATCAGCACCACTCCATTGTTTATACCTAACTACTGTGATCTGGGACACTTAGAAAAAGCTTATTGCTACCTTATTTTAATGTTTCAGGTTTTCCTTAACTGAAGAAAGGCAACCCTAACTATTCTATGATTCGATGATTCTATTGCTCCACCCCAGAAATAACTAGTTATTGTACATTAAATAATATGAATGATTTGCATGCAGAAATAATATGAATGTGCCAAAAAGAGGACCCAAGGCTGTGATTCTGTCATTAACTAGTTATTTGACAACAAACTTCTACAAAGTTCTAAAAAAGTTCTAAAAAGACATTGTACCTGCTTTTTTACTTGTCCTTAGCTTGGATGACCAAAATCATATTTTGCATATCACACAATCAAGTTTAAGCCGATAGGGAATCCAGGGTGAAAATGTCTTCTGAGTTTGGACATGAGTTACATTCCTCCATCTCAACATAATGTACACTTTAATGTTCTAGATATGTACTTTAAGACATACCTAGGAAAGTACTCACCAATTCAGCTCCCTTAATTATTTAATTTACCAAAGGAATCTGCTTAATAAATGTCAATTTTTGAATTTATGGAAAGTGCTCTGTTGCTGGACATCACCTCATAGCTCTTAAGAATCAAAGCCATTGTGACCAACATTTAGGACAAAAAAAACCCAAACCATCTGCACTGAAGACTGCATGCCTTTATTTTGGACACAGAATTAACCAAATGCAATGAACACCCTGGTCACTTTTAGATCAGATGATCATATTTATGATTCCCAACAGCACTGCACACACTCAGTTAATGAAACAGATCTCATAATGAAGGCAGCTATGAACTTGTCAGGAAATTGAACTCACTATAGCATTTAACAGCAGTGCTTTTTTATCCATCTGGAGTTAAAAGATTACAAGTTTCACCAAAGGGATAGATTTACTCGAAACAAGCCTATCAGAGACATCACAGGATACGGTTCAGTTGCAGTGAGCCTCTATACTTGCATAATAGAGCACTTACAGGTGAAAAAGTGGATTCTTTTTTTAGTTTGCTATTATATGCACAAAGTTCATTAGTTTGGCATGGTCTGACCATGGCAGGATCACATCCTTGTTTATTCCTAAAGGGAATGCATTGCTGACATTGTCATATACAAAATATTTAAACTTACAAAGTTACGTTTGCAAGTAATTTAGATGCATATTAGGATTAGCTCAAATAAAAACAATTGACAATTCATAATAGGTAATAATTAAGTGCTGTTTCAAAAGCAGACATCAGGACCATGTAATTATTCTCAGGGAGAAAAAATAGTATAAGGAATTACAGTTGGCCTCAATGCTTTTAAAGGTCTTTTCCAACCTGAATGGTTCTATGAATTCATATCCCTTTTTATTTATAAAGTGTCTCAGTGATATAGTAGTAATTAGATCCAGAGATATTTTGCAGTAAACAACAATATATGTATTTTACATACATATGTTTTATTAAACAAATATTAAACTGAAAGCAATTGATTCGTGATTTGTCTTTTAACTACGCCAATTCTCCAGTTAACTAAAAGGACTGTTTGTGTGAAGGGGGGATAACATTCCCCTTTTTACAGGAACCTTGGGCAGCAAAGAAAAGCATGCATAATGCCTCACAAAAGACGTATTTCAAGACCTCAATATTAAGCCTCCATACAGAAGCACCATCAAAACTGTGACATAAGGACAGTGGCAAGAAAGCAAAGGCCAAGGAAATACAGAAATATGTGCCCAAAGAAAGGGAGAACATTTATACTGGGTTTATGGGGCAAGGTTTTGGTAGCGGAGGGGCTGTAAGAAGGTGCCAGAAACTTCCCCTATGTCCAATGAAGTAACACCAGACAGCTCCCAGTGTAGAGAGATATTAAAGAAAATTGGTATTCAAGTTGAGCCCAGGAAGAAGGGAGGGGTGGGGAGAAGATGTTCTAAGATTTGGTTTTATTTCTCATTACCCTACTCTGATTTGATAGGTAATATATTAAATTACTTTTTTTTCCCAAGTTCAGACTGTTTTGCCCATGATGGTAACTGGTGAGTGATCTGTCCCTAGGGAGTGACAGAGCAGCTTTGGTGGGCATCTGATGTCCAGTCATCCTCAGCCCACCACAACACTTCATTCTGTGTAACAGTCAGCCCATATCCTTATACATAGATATACCATATATGCAGACATGTATGTGTAATATTTGACAGTTTATGCACATAATGATTTATGTTGCAGTTATTAGGGTCAAATGAGTTTTCCCCCAGTTTAAAAAAAGCAGCACTTTTATCACTGCAAATGCACAACTCAGAGTGAATGCAGACGTCTTTCCAACTCTTCAGGAAGTCAACTTTAATATCTGACTGCAACACATGTAATTAATTTCACTCGGTTTCTGACTCATTAGTTTCAAAATGTAATCTTTGTTTCAGGGAAACTATTTTTCAGGGCCATGCAGGACAATACAATTTTTCAGGAATCAGAGCAATGTCCTGCATCTGCTATTCAGCCAAACAAGAAACAAGCAAAAGCAATAAAATAAATGCATAAAAAAAGAAAAATATGAGAAATAAAACTGATCCTGGGGAAGAGCAGTTAAGTGTTGGCTATTCATGCCTCTCTCCTTTAGTCCCTTGTGAGAGGTGGTGGGAATGGGATGGACTGATGAGGAACTACCCACCCCCCAGCTGCTGGGGGCTCCAAAAAAGGGGAGAGAGAAAGCCAAACTCCACCCCAAATATGTTATCAGCCAGTAAACAGAGTTTTATAGAACAAATGGGGCCTCAAGCAAGGTCCAGGGCTACCCTGATAGAAATTGTTGTGCCCTCCCCTTCCTAGAATTTGAGAATAGCAAAGGAGCAGGGGTAGTATAAAGGGAGGGAAAATGGGCTTCTTATCTGGACAGTGCAGGTGAAGTTTACAGCACTCTTGGAAAACATATGGACAAACAAATTTGAAAAACAAGACCCATTTACGTCTTCAGGGGAGGGGTAGAGTACACTGCACAAAAGCAGATAACACACCTAATCATTGCAACATCGCTGTGATCAACCACCACCCAGTTTTTCAGGAAAAGTGCATCCATCCAGAAAAGATGGAACAAAGGGGCCAGGCAGGAAAGGTAGTACAAACAGTATTCCAAACTCTTAAGTAATAATATACAGAAAGCATACTCCTATTGGCATTAGTATATGCAAATATATAGCTTTCTCCTCTTAGTACCATGGTAGTTTATTTGTCTGTGTATTATAACAGACAGTATAAGTTATTCATTTTATCAAAGCTGAGTCTCGAATTTACAAAAGCACTTTCATTTCTACTCGCATGGCTTGTGAGCTGGTCTGCACACCAGAGCAACATTTGCATGACTTACAATGCAAAACAGAGCAAAGTCTTTAAACCTGTTGATGAGTACATCTTGGGACTTCAAAGACCAACAAGATTAAGGAAACCATGAAACAACTAAAATCCAAAAGCATCTCCTCTTAGGTGCGTAGTTACGCAAATGACCGATCCTAGTCCTTAGTGTTTCCCACCGTGTAACAGAAGCAGACCGTACCCTGAATCAGAGAGGCAATGCCGATAATAGAGCACCTCCAACCAGTGTGACTGTTCAATAAATACTCAGTATGTACAGGAAACTGGTAACTACGGGAGCAAACGAAATCCGTGCAGCGGATGAGGCAGCGCCGGCGCCCGACCCGACTCCCGTGAGCGACGCTGCACGCCCCGACGCCCCTCGCAGCAGCCTGCCGTGCATCACTCCGAGACAAAAACCTGCCCGGTCTCACGCTTGGAAGCCCAAGCAGCATTTCATTTCAGCTCATTCATCACTCTCACGGGCTCGGGAGGTGCCCTGGGGCGGTCCCACTGCCCCCTGCCGCACCGGCCGCCCCGACGGCACCGGGGAAAGCACTGCGGCCACTCCCGGTCCCCACCGCGCCGCCCTTCCGCTGCCTTACCGTTGTGCTCATCGTATCCCCAGTGCAGCATAGCTCTGCTCGCCGGCAGCTGCGGACTGGGACGGGCCAGGACGGGCTGGAACGCGAGATGCTGCCGCCCCGTCACCGCCGCCCGCTTTGAAGGCGACGGGCGGCGACGCCCCGATGGGGAGCCGATAAGAAGCCTGCAGCGCTTCGCGCCCGCCTAGCCCGGCCCCGGCCCCGGCCCCGGCCCCGGCCCCGGCCCCAGCCCCAGCCCCAGCCCCGGGCCCCCTGGCTCCACCGCGCCGGCTCTCGCCTCAGGCACTTCGCCGCCCCTCAGCGTAGCGCTGTGCCGTCTAAGCGGGCAGGGGGGGACCGCTTCAATAGAGAAGTGCTGCTCCTCCGTCACTGCCTCGAGTTGTGCGTCGGAGAGTGACGGGGACATCAGTGCCTGTTTCTGGGGTCACCCCCCAGACCCAAGAGTATAGCAAAGCGCGCACAGCTGCCAGGCAGCCCCTGAGCTCACCTCCCGCCTTACCCCGAGAGCAGCGAAGCCAGTTCAATTTGGAATTAACCGTAGGAAGGTTCACGTTTTGCAGACGGGACCCGTAAGACAGAAGGTTTCCCACAACCCACCCGAATTTTTTACTATTTCTTTTTAAACCTCGCGCTGGGGGACCTTAAGGCACTACTTTGGGATCGCGGGTGTAGCTCGGCGGGCAGCAGTCACAGGGGCGAGGACCTGCGGGGCAACGGGGGAACACACGCGGAGAGCGGGGAGCGCACGGGACGGACCAGGGAGGGAACAGGGACGGGGACGCGTCGCAGCCGTGGGTCAGAGGCACAGCAGGTTGGGAGCGGGGTGGCGCAGCGTCACCTGGCGGCTCCGCGCGGGATTGCCGCGCAATGACGGCGCTGCGGAGGTGGGGGTGAGGGATTCGCGGCTTCCCTGGCGCGCGGGAGTGACGTCACCGTCCGTCCGCCCTCGCGGTGCCTCCGCTATGGGGAAGAGCCGGTCGCGGGCGGCCAAGGCGGCAAACGTGTTCCGCATCGCTCGTAGCGCCGCCGCCGCCAAGGCCAAGGGCAAAGGCAAGGGCAGGGCGCGGCCCGTCACCTCCGGGCTGAAGCAGGTGAGCCGCGCAGGGGGTTTGCCGCGGGGCTCCCGCCGGGTCGGGCCGGGCGGGTGAGGGCCTTCCTCCTCTGGGGCCTGTCCTGCGGAGCTCTCGTGGCTGACTGAGGTGGTTCATGGACAGAGCTCCTCTGGGCCACAGAGTGGCGGAGTACACCGTTTCCACCCGAAAGTGGGGTTTATTTGTGGATGCTGTCATAGAATCATGGAATGGTTAGCTTTGGAAAGCACCTTTAAGATCATCTAGTCTTCAGAGAAGCGCAGTTCATTTGACTCATGTCCTGCGAGCTTCTGCCATAGGAGACTTAAAGCTGTTCTCCTTGGGGGGGGTGTCATTTATAAAGTACCCGTTAGCACCTCGGTGTGCCTGAGGGAGTGGGATGCTAAAGACAACGTCAGTAGTTCAGTGAGGTTATGTTTACTTGCACCGTCACTGATGGTGTAATTCAGGGCACACATCACCAAAATGGCTTGACCCAAACCACCAGGCACAGATACAGCTAAGGCAAGGCCTTCCTGCTCCTTTCTGAAGCGAAAGCATGCAAAAATAATACTTTGTAATTTTTTATTATGGAGAGGAATAAAGAGGAATGAGTGGGCCGTGTGGCTGGGAGCAATGCAGGGGAAAAGGGATGGGGGATGATCTAAGCAAGAATTTTCCTCTTGGTAGCCAGTAAGTCATTATACAGCATCTGCTTCTCAGAAAATGCCTCCAGCCAGGGCTGTGTAATCTGCTGAGAGTTCAGCTGGTGTTTCTGGAAAGGCATGTGATAATATAAGTGGAAACTTAGTGGCTTATTGTTCCCATTAGATTTAGTGGCAGTGTGTTGGGCAAACCAAGTTAAACAGGAACTCTAAAGAAACACCCTTTCAGATTTTCTCCTGCAAGCTAAAGCCTCTTGACAAATTCATGTGGTAGATGGACTGGAACGTAACAAACTTCAGAAGTAAACAATTTCATGTTGATGGCATCACATCCCCACTTAGTCTAGAGGGTTCTGTATAATAAAGGGAGAAACAGGTTTAAAAAACATATGCATGAAAACTCAGCTTATTAGGAGTAAAATTTTATTCTGTATGTTTGAAGCTGTATTCTTTAATTCATTAAGCCTTTGGGGATTTACTTGCCATTAACCGGTATAGGAAGATGTTCAGAAAAATTTGTTATAATAGGTTTCTTCTTTAATAGATAAAAGCTCAGACAACTTTTGATACACACATGCTAGCTATAGGGCCTCTTTCTGTGAAGGGGTCCTGCCACTATCAGGTACTAAAACTGACTGGATTGTTCCAACACCTCTGTGAAGCAGGAAAACGGTAGCAAGCCCTGATGGGCAAGCTGAGATCTTTGTAAATCATGTTGCCCACAGTCCCATCCACTGGTCTGAGCTAGGAACTGAGTCTGTATTTCTGGGGTCAGACTCCAGTTTATTATGAATTGAAGTGCTAACCTGAGCAGGCTTTTTTTATCAGCCTCTTGCCACTGCTTTCTTACCACTGGTTCTCTTGATGACTCAGAATAAATGGAATTAGTGGAATGGAATAGGTGCTCTGAAATTACAAAAGCTTTGAAAGCAAAATGAATATGTGTCACCATTCACAGTTTGCTTCTGTGTAAATTGCTGAGAGGTGAATTACAGGCATAGCCTATGGAACAGCAGTAGTATCCCGAAATATGGGGTTGCCTGAAGATGTATGAGTATGCTTCTAGAACATTTGAAATGTAATAAATTTAATAAATAGAATTACTTTTTCCCCAAATCGAGTCTGTTTTGCCTGTGAAGGTAACTGGTGAGTGATCTCTCCCTATCCTTATCTTGACCCAAGAGCCTTTCATTATATGTTCTCTCATGTCCAGCTGAGGAGGGGAGTGATAGCGTGGCTTTGGTGGGCATCTGGCATCCAGCCAGGGTCAGTGCACCACACGAATGAAGGAAGGAACCTTTCCTGGAACTCCAGTCCAGCTAAGAGGAGCCAAGGATGGTGTCACAGGGCCTGTCTACACTGTGGCCTTTGTTTTCTCTATGTTCTGTTTCTGGATCACTGTGGGCTCCATTTCCAATAGAACAAGTTTGACTGCTTTCATAATTTTCAGCTTATTAGAATGTTAGTAGTACATGACTGGATGATATAATTGCATAACAGAAAAGCCTACTAAAAAGTAAATTTGGAAGATACACATATAAGACTTGCTGTGTAATAGTTGTACAAAAATGATGCAGTTTCACATGTCAATGGAATTCTTGTTAAAAATACCAATGTGAGGGTTTTTTTTTCTTCCCAGATAAACATTAAGAATGCTGAGAAAGTTAACACAATAAATAAAGCATTTGCGGAAGTCCAGAAAGAAATACAGCAGATACCAAAAGGCACAGCAGCAGAACCTGAGAAGAGTCATCAGGTAATTTCCCTTTGTAAAAATCTGAGGAAGGAAATGAAAGGAATGTATATATTCAAAGCACTATATCCTGGCTCTTAAGACTGTAGGCAATTCATGCAGTTGCTTTAAAACTATAAACTCAGTTTTATTAATTTCAGTGGTGTGGTAATTTTGAAATCTCATTAGCATTTTCAAGTGCTTTATAAATACCAAAGTAAAGAGAGAAAAGGATGGGTAGCCAAGCTGGAGCATGGCTCCAAAACCATATTTTTAAATTATGTTTTTTTTGATTTTTTTTTTTTTTTAAGTTAACTTCAGCTCCAGCTCCTTGTTCTGAGACTTACTTTGCAACATGACTAGACAGAGAAAGTAAGGATAAACCTTGTCATTCCCTACCTGAAGCACCTGACAGTGCTCTGAACCAGCTCTGCCTCTCTCTGTTCCCAATTCCTAAGCCTTCATATTCTGTCATCAGAAGTAGCAACACCTGAAAGAGGCATTTCTGTGTGGTTCTGAGTTACCGGCTGGGCTTAAACCCTGACAAGCTCTTGCCTGCGGCACTTAGGGTTCAAGACAGTGTTTCACTTGTCTTCATCTAGTCCCTTAAACAGGGCTATGTGCAGTCTTGTGCAAGAAGTAATTCACAGAACTTAAGTTCTGCTGACAAACTCCTCTGTATGTGAGTCTGATGGTCCGGGTTGGGGGAGAGAGGAAGCAGTGGACCAGGATGAGGTACAGATGAATCCACCCCAGCTGTTGTGAGAAGTAGACATGAGTTGAGTATTACTGTGCCTGGGGTGATCAAGTTTCTATATGGCTGGGAGCGACAAAACTAGTGTCAGATACCTTAAGGAGAGGCTGAGTAAAAGTAAATATAGGTAACAGTGCTGCCAGCACAGATGAGGCCAAGCAAGTGTTTCAAGGCAGTTGGTGCCACCAGCCCTGTCCCTGCTCACTTGTTGCTGCATGCAGGCAGGAATTCAGACTACACCATTGCTCCTGCGCCTGTAGGGCTGACCGTGACCTAACACTCAATTTGATCGCTTGGGCTGTAATAGTATTTCTTCCAAAGTTGCAAGAGTGTTGTCAAGAGCACTTCAGAACTATAAGCTGAGCCTATTTCCATTTGGCCCTTACTGGCATAATGCTTTGTCTTTCTCCTGCAGCATAAAGTACTGGCTGCTGCTCTGTCAAGTGTAGTGAATCCTGGTTTCCTCCAAATTATTGAATTATGACTGCAATACTAGCCTAAATTAAACCCATAAAGACAGACTAATCTTCTAGACAACAGGTATTAGTGGCATTTTTTCCCCAAATGGTGTAAACTGCTTTGTACTTTAAACCCAAACTTTTTTTTTTTTTCAGGTTTCTGCAATTGTGGAAAAGGAACCAGTAAACGTGGATGCTGCCACAAGCTTATTATCTCAGTTGTGATGCATAATGAACAAAGAAGAGATTGCAAGAAATGAAGATAAGAAATACCAACAGGCTTTGTTTGTACAATTTTATTAAAAAATCTTGTTAATATACAAGTATTGGCACACTTTTAATACAAACTACAAACAGACCTTTCCTATCATCTAGGAAAGAGGAATGTCAGAAGTCAGTGTGAGAAACTTAAAGTGCTAAAACAGAAGGCACTTCACAAAATTGGTTCACTGAAACAATTTAGCATAACTTGAGGTGATGTCCTTTTCAGCTTGGCAGTGAAAGCTTCAAAATTGTTTGAAAGGTTAAAATACAGAAAGCTTCTAGGCAGTAAAGCTTCAAAGAAAATGCTGTCAACTGTGAGCAAGAAGCCTAATCATTTTTGAAAAATGCTCAGAAGACTATAGAATATGTTCACTTTTCTTACTAAAGAAAACTCCAAATAACTGGATTACACAGAGGACACACGGGTGAAAAAATGTGCCAGAATTTTTGATAAAAGCCCCTTTTTCCTCATTGTTAAATTTGTTTTGTGAAGTAGTTAAAGGAAGCAAAAGGAAATAAACTCCCAGAGTCAGTGAACTAAGAAGTTATACATTCATTATTCAAATACTTAGGTTATGAAGAAGTCTAGAATGTTATAGTTAGAGGTAGATAAGTAGTCTGGTTGACACAATATCTAATAATTTAGTATCTGCACATCAAAGAGATCACAGACTCCTTCATTATCATCCAGGTTAAAGTTGTAGTCATCTCCGGGAGTAGGAGAGAGTCGTAAGAGAGGAAAAACTGTAAAGCAGGAATAGTTTAGTTTAAGTTAAAAACACCTTTGGAAAATCAGCCCTATCTCATAATTCAGTATGTTTGTCATCACCAGTATCAGGGTTAGTCTTAATAATTAAAATAGTCTTGATAATCTGACAAGCATGCTAAGACACATACCGTGAATACCTCTACTGCCTTCATTCAGACTAGGTCAGTGACATGTCTACACGTTTTGCTTAGTATTTTAAGTGAATTTCCTGGAATGGAGTGATACCTGTGGAATGAGGACTTAATTTCTCCTTCTGCAGCAAAGGAGTTCCTGAGTAGGTTTTGAAACTTCCACCTGAAAGCCATCATTCATATCTATACTTCTTCACCTTCTTACAGTATTGCCTATATCAGCCTTCAAGTATTTATCATTTTAAGTAAGGAAGTTGCAATTATCCCTGTTTTACAGGAATCAAAAAAATAAATGGAGACTAGCAGTTTTTCCATGCACTGCATTTCAAGCATGGACTTCAATACATCTTTGGGGAGGGAATGCAAGAAGAGAAGGCCCAGCCCTCATGCTGTACCTCAGGGAGCACTAACCTAGTGCAGAGGAGCTGGGCATGCTGTACCTGCTTTAAAAGCAAAGACTATTTCCATTTCAGCCATATATTGGCACATTCACATAATCCCATTTTGCCCCTCAGATCTTATAATTACATGGTTCTTTCTGGATAAGCCCTGAGGTTGTCTGCTTGAAAGGCAGGTAAGCAGAGGCTGCTTACAGAGCAGAGGACAAGAGGAACAATACCAGCCGAGTTCACCTCTTTGCCTGGCACCTCAGTGAGATAGAGCAGAGAGGCAGAGAACACATGAACTCACTAGCTGTGGCTCAGTTCTGCACTCGTATGGCCACCAAGGTGCCATCTACCAGTCTGCATGCATGCATGTCAGTATGTTCCAAAATGTTTACTCAAAGCACATGCAGGAAGCCTGAAGCAGAAGAGAATTAAACCAGATCTATTTTTTTTTATGGCAGCACTCTAGTCATCAGCTTGTTTTTTCCTTGTTCCTGAATTAATGCCTGGTGGGTTACTCATGCATGTAAGTGCTTGCTGGATTAAGACTTTCATATTTTGATTGTTAAAACCCAACTATTTTGCTTGTTAAAAAAAACACTGTTGCAGGGAAAGGAAAGGGGAGCAAAGACAAGAATGACAAAAGACAGAGGAGGCTTTATAGGGGAGAGAAGTAGTATCATACTGACTCGGCATCAGATTTAACAGCTAAGAGTGCTCTTCACACAAAACCCATGCTGCTACTTGTGATTATTAGAGAAGATGCTAAATACTTACCGTCAGAAGACATGAGTTCATCAATAAGATCCCCACCAATCCCTGTGAAGGACAGAAGTGTGTGTTTATGGAAGTCAATACATATTCCCTGCATTAAAACACTGAACTGCAAAGTACAAGTATGGCTCATGTGCTGTGTAGGAGCCGTGGCAATATGTAAAATGTATTCACCTTTGTATCCCTCATTTTTTCCCCAATTTTCTGAATGTCTTAGGCAGTATTCACAAACCCTGCCTTGAAGGCTGCATTTCAATAGTAGCCACTTTAAACAAATGGCTTACAGCCCTAGAGCTGTGTACAACATGAAGCTTATTTGGTAGCAGAGCAAGGTATTTTGCTCAAAATGAGTCTGATACTCAGAGCTGGCTCAGTGGCTTCACTAGGAGATAAATGGGCCTGTTATTTCCACTGTGTAACTGGTTGGTAACTTGGTCACAAAGAAGGGCTTAGGAAACTAACAAAAATATTTGAACAGGAACTACTGCTTCCTACCTGTGGGCTCCTCCATCTTTGCCAAGTCGAATGAGTTTGCCTTGAGAATACAGTTAACATCCAGGGGCAGCAAGCCCTGGTAGTCGTTTGAACTAGCTGTAGCTTGGGCAACATCGCCTGAAAGGCTGGAGTACAACACCGATTCTGGAAGGCTGGAGTAAGCAGCTGCTGGGGTTGCACTGTTCTGCTCTGTGCTGCCGTCTGCAAAGACAGGCACATTATGAATCTGTTATGGTAAAAGGGAACACAGACCGCCTGCACATGGCTTTGTCTTTTGAGGCAAACATGGCTAATGTCTGGGATGAGGCAGGAGGAGTCTCGCCCTTCCAAAATCAAAGGCATAGTTTAACTAACTATTAATTGAAGGTTAATAAATAAAGGTTAATCAGGACCTATCAGAAATGCAGGCTGTGACACTGACAGCATTTTCTTAAATCTTTTCCTATTACCCTCCTATTATTATGAAAAATATACCTGATATTCAGACAGTCTCTCACTGTGGCTATGTGGAAGAAGTGAAGTGACCTTGTGGCACAAAAGCTGGAACTGGTGCCTGTATTATCTGCCTCATTAAAAGGTACATGTTCAAATCATATTCTCCATCAGAGGCTGGCAATTTCCTTCCATACTGCATTCTGGAGAAGCACCTCAGAATAATTAACTGGATCACATTCAAAACCTGTTTGGTACAAGATGATAAGCTACGAGGGAAGAATCTATTTCACCAGACAGAAGAGGAAGAGGTTTCTCTGTAACCTCTTCAGAGCTCTTAGTAAGCCCTTGGGGTAGTTTCTTAACAGACAGCTGCTAAGCTATGCAAATTCTTGATCTTTCTTTCATTTAGCACCTTTTCCTTCTTCCCCTCCAGTTCCCTCCCCTCCCACCACCTATGTGAGGCAGGAAAAACCGTGGACCCACCTGATGGCGTGTCCACAACTGATGTTTCTGGTAACTCTTGTGCTTGGCTCAGGTCATGTTGTTCTGGTGGATTCTCAGGAGCTGCAGCAGGTTTAAGCGGAGTTGCTGTTGCTGCAGGTGGTGATGAGGGCTGTGCAAGGTCATCAGGTGGAGGAACTGGAAACACCATGGGCTTGGAGAAGCTTGATTCTTTATTTATAAGCAGCACATGGATAGGTCCTGAACTACTTTTAAGATTGATCTGGTATTTCTTCTGTCCATTCTGTCCCTGTAATGGTGGTATATTGCAAAAGTTACCATTCCTTGAGAACTCTTAACTTTACAAAATATAACAGTAACTGCATAGTTACTTCCCACAGAAAATCATGAAGATGTTTGAACAGAATTCTCAAAGTGATACAGAACATAAACACATATTCTTTTAGTTACATCACCAGGAAGAGCTCAGAATTGGCACAGACATATCAAGTCATGCTCAGGAAAAAAAAAAAAGTATTTAAAACTAATACATGTTATCTGTCCTGTAATGTATTTACCTGACAAAACACAGCTGCAGAGAACACAAACATAAAATTCTACTAAGTGCTTAATGAAATACTGAATTGTATTTACATGAGACTTACAGCAAGGCTACATCTTGCTAGTAACAGCAATGATGAACAATGATTTCTGTGCATTTATGTTTCTTCCTTTTAAATGGAGCTTCAGAATGATGCTGGTTAGTACCAAGCATGCTAAAACAGCTGGTTATCTCACCCAGACTGAGAGAACACAGGATCCTAAGTCAGTAGAAACAATTTCTTAACTGATTTGCCAGGCTTTCTTTTGGGCAAGTTACTGAAGCAACACAGCTAGGACTAGCTTCCTCTAGCACAGCCTCAGTGAGACCACCGACTACACAGTGGCTCATTCAGCAAACTCTTTTTCTGCACATACATTCTAGGAAAAATGAGCATGAGAAAAGTGGGACGGGAGCCTTGGAAAAGAACCAAAGCAAAAAACATCCAGCATGAATATGATGACAGAGACTAAGATCAGCTGGTTTAGTCCTCAAGAAAAAGCCAAAAAACCCCTGAAGATAAAACATCACAGCTGATAACTTTGGTCCCACAGAGAACCTTACCATTGCCTGAACTGATTTCAGCAGAGACAGACCAAGACAGTAGCACTGATTAGTGTAATTGTTCTAGCTTTGGACGATTTTACCACACTAGACTGTACTTAGCCTCACTAAAAATGCTTGTCAAACTTCTCAGGTGAATTTTAGCCCTCTACAAGCATAGTGGCTATCATGCCTCATACAATGCTGTCTCCCAGTTATACAACAAAAAAAAGTAAAGATGGACAGAGGTAAGTAATCTGACCTCCCAACCTCACCCATTTAAGCCTTTAAGCTAAAGTGAGACTGTAGTTTATCCAGTCTAGTACCATGAGACTAAACAAATCGAACTAAACCTGCTGCTAAATCTAAATGGCTTTTTCCTAAGAGTACAATATAGCAGAGAAATTTGACACGTAAAGTCACTGCTAAAAAAGTTCTCAAGGCAATTCATGATAATTATGCCTCATGTAGCTCTTCTTTTCCA